TACTGTTATGAATCATAATTAAATATTTGATGTGTGGATGGTCTTACAGGACCTCTGTGAAAGGGTCATTTAACTCCCAAAGGTGTTGAGAACCGCTGTTCTAGGGTCATACTCAATTACTGAGGGGAATCAGGGCAGGGACTCAAGGCAGGCACTCAGCAGAAGCCTTGAACAATAGTTGTTCCTTATGCCTTGTTCAGCCTGATTTCTTATGTACCCAGGACCACCCAGGAGTGCACTGCCCACAATGAGCTGGGCCCGTCCACATCAACCATTAATCAAGAAAATGGCCACAAGCTTGCCTACAGGCCTGTCTTAATGGAGGCATTTCCTCAACTGGGATTCACTCCTGTCAGATGTCTCTAGCTTGTGTCAAGTTGACAAAAACTGTCATATACAGAGGAAAAAAAAAAGTGTGATTGACCAAAACCCTTCCAATCTGTTCCTTTGACTGTGGTGACCTTTGCAGACACAGGCTCTGGGGACTTTGCTACTGAGAGTTCTCCAGGAGTCAAAGGATCAGGATATGCCAGAATGGATTCAGTATCTGAATAAATGTACTGTTTGGGTGCAGAAAGAGCCTGGGTATAAGTGAAGGAAAGGGACATGGGGGACATTTCTGTACCTTACATTCAGTTTGTATGTCAACCTAAACCTGTTTTCAGAGCCCCCTCTGTGTGCTGTTCACTCAATATGGGCTCCAACTTCCTTTGCAAACCCTCAGGGCTCACTGGCCACAGAGCAGCTGCTTCCACTGGGCCATGTGGGAAAAAAGGCTTTGACTTCTTTACATCTGCCAACTTGCCTTTGCCACAGTATCCCACAGAGAGAGAAACACCCATCATGTGCCTGTAGTAAGGGTGCCCTCCACTATGCCTGACCACTAGGCTCCCAGACAAGAGACTTTGCATATGTGAGGTTTAAAACATGTGGTTTTAAAGTTGGTTTAGTGGGTCACATTGTCACTGACTACATTTGCCATCTTAGCCTTTCCTCTACCTCATGTTTCCTGACCTCCTTAGTCCCGTGGCTATAAAAGTTCATATAATATCTTCCATGGCAAAGCATAACACTTGTGGTAACCAGAATCCACATTCTTGGCCATGACCATTCATATTTGGATGTGAAAGAGAAGCCAGTTTCTTTCTTTCTTTTTATTTATTTATTTAATTTTATATAACAAAGTCCAATTAAATGAAAACAAACATTTATACACAATATTTGGGAATTTGGGCGTCGTTTTTTCCAAACTACTTCCTGCTGGTAAGGGGCACTGTCTTGGGGGATTCGAAGAAGATTCAGATATCCTAGCTGTAGTCTGTAGGGCTGTTTTGTCCAGCTGTTTTGAATGTAGGATCACCTGGTACTCTGTTTCAGGCGGTCTGGCGTGATCAAACCACATTAGTCTGGAAGGAATCCACATCTTTTCATTTTCTGTGGAAACAAAAATAGAAATCCTTTTCCCCAGTAACTTGTTCTTCAAGTTAAATTTTGGAGTCAAAGCATTTTTTTTTTTAATTTATTATTTTACATGTTGATCCCAGTTCCCTCTCCCTCCCTCCCCCTTTCCCTCCCTTTTACCCTCTCTGCCCTCTCATATGCACTCTAAACACCCTCCCCTCCCATCCCCCCACCACAATTCCATATGTAGGGGAATGCCATCCAGTTGGGGTCATGTAGATGTGACAGGTCTTGTGAAGTAGGGACTAGGAAGCCAGTTTCTTTAAGAAGAGGCACAGGTCACAGTACCACAGCAGGAAAAGACAACAGTGGAGAGACAGGATGGAGCCTGGCATCTGAACATAGCCAGGGAGGCTTCTTCTAAAGCAGTGTAAGATGATGGACATTACTTAAGAATAGATACCTAGGAGAGACCATCAAGGATTTAGAGCTATTTAGGCCACATAGCTCTGATTCTCAAGTTACTATTATAAATATATTTAGGACCATAAGAAAACCCCACTTTTTATAAATGTTAACATGTGTCAAGTATTTTGAGAAATTTCTTGGAAATCCGGTCCCACATTAACCACATGTGGGCTAACCAGGGAGCTGATGGAGTGTGAAAGAGTGGTAACGAGAACTCGTCTTTGGCGACCCCAAAATCCAGATCTGAAGGATTCACTTTAACAGAATGAAGTTACAAGGTATGGTGGCACAAACCCGCAGTCTTAGCATTCGGGAGTCTGGGTGAGGCAAGAGCACTGTAGGTTTGAGAAACAAAGTCCTGGTGGATTCAAGGGTACAGCGGATGTAAGAATCTCAAAGGCAGCCGGGCGTTGGTGGCCCATGTCTTTAATCCCAGCACTCAGGAGGCAGAGGCAGGCAGATCTCTGTGAGTTCAAAGCCAGCCTGGTCTACAGAGCTAGTTCCAGGACAGGCTCCAAAGCTAAGAGAAACCATGTCTCAAAAAACAAACAAACAAACAAACAAACAAAACAAAAATAATCTCAAAGGCACTAGCATAGGCTAGTTATATTAGGGCATTTGTCCTTCTCTCCAGCTAAAGCTAGCCCTCCCTACCCCTCTCTCTGCAGTAATGGCCTACGTGAGAAGCCTCAAGGAAGGGGCTTTATCCCTCCAGCCTGTGTTGCAGTGGCTGGCCTCTGGCCACTCAGCATCTAGGAAGCTGGTGAGAACACAGTACCACCACTACCACTTAAGGGTGAGGTCAGGGTTAAGGAAGGTGAAAATGGCTGATGTCTCAGTCACCTGAGCAGCAGCTCAAGTGAGCCATAAAATCTGCTCTACCTGAGCTAGCCTTGAAGCCTGTCTTCTGCTACTGTCACAAAATGCCTAAGAGAATCAGAGTTCAAGAAGAAAAGGTTCAGCCAGACTGTGTAGGCACACCCCTTTAATCCCAGCACTCGGGGGTCAGTGGAAGGTAGATCTCTGTGAGTTTGAGACCAGCCTGGTCTACACAGAGAAACCCTGAAAAAAAAAGAAAGAAAGGAAGGAAGGAAGGAAGGAAGGAAGGAAGGAAGAAAGAAAGAAAGAAAGAAAGAAAGAAAGAAAGAAAGGAAAGCAAAGGTTCTTTTGGGCTCACAGTTGAAAGGTGTACACCACAGCAGCAATACAAGGTAGAGAACTACTCCCCTCGGGGAGGGCAGGAAGTAGAGAGAGGGAGGAAAGGGCTCCAGTCTCATCTAATGGTCTAACTTCTTACCATCCAGATGTTCCACTGACCTCCAGTACCACAGGCCAGAGGAAGACCTTTAGCATATAGGCCTTTAGGGACATTTATAATCCAACCCAGACTAGAACCCAAAGCCCCTGAGCCCCTCTCCTTTTTACACAGTAGGTATGACGGATCACAATGCTTCATCTAGCCAGCCATTCCCATACAGAACAGTACATTTCTGCATGCTACAACATGCCTCACAGTTCCTTTTGGTGACAGGAATACACTTCTCTGCCCTCCTAACAATGGGCTTTGCTTGGGATTGGTTTTGGCTAGTGGGTATATAGGCTACCATATTTCTGTCAAATAAGTCCTAAATCCCAGGGTACTAGCCAACCACTGGCAAGCAATGTGAGTTTAAAGAACACACAGTGGTCTCCATACACTCGGGAGTCTTCTAAGACGGGGATTTTGGCAGCATAATCTCATACAAACTAACCAGGTGCCAGGGGCAGCCAGTGCCGGTAGAGAAGTGAAGTAGATAGAAAGGCAAGCATGTGTAAAAGTGTGAAAGTTGGGGCTGCTACAGACTGGACAGACCCAGCCAAATGGCAGGCTCCAGCATTAAGCTGCACTATGGCCAACGGTTTAAAAACTGCTGGTTTAGATAAGTAGTACAGGTTGTGCTGGTTTTTTTTTTTTTTAAGTTTTTTAAACATTCATCTATTCATTGAGAGGGTGAGAGGGGAGGTGTGTGCCTTACATGTGAAGGTCAAAAGACAACTCGCAGGAGTCAGTTCTCCTCTTCCATCATGAGGGTCCCAGGGGTCAAGTCAGGTCGTCAGGCTCAGCGGCAAGGGACTTTATTACCTGCAGAGCCATCTCAACAGCCTGGAGGCAGTGATTTCAGTGACCTAACTAATAGTTACCAGCCAAAGAGCTCGGTATGAATCATACAGTTAAGATATGGTTAATAGGTTTGATCTTTTTCATAATCATTTCATAGATCTCAAGGGGGAAAATCTTTAGTTTGTAAGGAACAACCATCTCAACTCTGGGTCTGGCTTTTCTGAGACTTAGATTGAAGAATACATTATTGTATTTTAAAAGTTCTCTCTAAAAAAATTTCCTTTGATCTCTTAATATCACAAATCTAAACATAATCTAAAAAACTGACCAAATATATTCATGTAAAAAAGCATTACCTCCATCCCAAAGAGATTCACTCCTATGTGGATATGGGGCACAGATGGGTGGTGACTTTAGGGAGATGGTCACAGGCTCATCACAGGGAACCACGGCGCACACATGGCAGTTTCCATGCAGAGTTATAAACCAGCCGTCACAGGAGCTGAGTGCAGTTTTTAAGGTTATTGTTTCTGAGGACAGTTTGAACTCTTAATACCAGATAATTAGTAAGACAGCAGTTACCTGTTCATTACCAACTCTAAGAGAAACAGAAAGCTGCGTAGTCCCTGGAACCCTGGGACAAGGATTCCTCTTTCCTCCTTTCGACACAGTTCAACAAGGCAAGGCCAGGCCTGTGAAAGCAGAAGATTTAGCCAGATTCCATTTCAGACTTTTGTCTCAATGGTTTGCTAATAACAACAGAAGCAGCTTTTTTTGTTTTTGAAAACTCTTTATTCTCAAATTGATTACTAAGTAGAACACACTGAGTGTGTAACAATGCTTTATCTTAGATATAGCAATGCTATATTCTAATACCATCTTAGCCTTTTGTGCCTTTAGGAAATGCACTACCTGGAATTCTATATCATTCCCAAGTTCTGTGGAGAAAAAAATGAGACAAATGGAGTGACATCTAGAAACACTGACTATATTGTTTTACTGCATTCTTACGAAACAGAACAAAAGCTCAAATTTTCTTATTTTAATTCTCCATAATTCTACAATAAAATATGCAACAAAGTTCAACAGATTACTGACAGTCAGTAATAAGATATGATGTCACATTCACGGGACTTTCAGAGTTAAAGTGATCAGTGGATTAAATAAAACAAAATTCAAATGTGAAACCTGATTCACTGAATAATACTGAAACCACCATAACCTTGAAACACTCAGAAAATTGAAATGACATTAAATACTAAAGTGTGATAAATGAAATACCACATTATCAAGTATCTTGTGAATGAAAATGATACAAATGAAATTTTCTTCAGTACAACTTCAGTAAAGCTTTTTACAAGAAATATATATGCATACATATATATTAATAATAAACACCTAAGATACACACTGAACCATTATGTGACTAAACTATCTAATAAATACAACTCCACACTGATTTGTTGCTGTGGACTAGTTAGCTTTTCTTTCAGGGAAATCTTAAGAAATTCTAACCTACACACTGAGTTGTCTAGGCTCTTTGTTCCTTTGATTTTATTAGCAAAACCCTTTGTTTTACGTTTAACTCCTCTGTCACCTTTAAAGGATCCGAGTTAATTTTGTGACAAACAAACAAACAAAATCACTAGTAAGTTAATGCCTTGGAACTGCAGTCTGGGCATGCTCCACGGGAGTTTGCGTTTAGGAAGCCAGCACACTGAACTCTGACCCCTTCTACAAAGTGTTCCTCTGCCCCTTCCCTAGGGTGAAGTCCAGCCTCAGTAGTGGCATGTGGTGTTCCTCAGCATAACCTGCCAAAACGTGATGATCTCCTTGGAAGAAAAGCCATGGGCTGCAATCACACGTCTGAGCTGACACACATCCAAGTGGATTCTATACAGAAAGAAAAGATTTGTGTCTTCTGGAATATGAATGTCCACTTTTAACAAATTCAAGCAGATGCCAACATACACGTCTTCAAACTTAATGGGCTTCACGTGACTCATCATCTCATAGATCCTTGGCACGAGATCACTGGACATGATGTAGCCCAGCCCACTACAGTAGGGAGGGAACACCTTGAAAGGGTACTCCTGGTATGAGATGTGGTTCTTATGGAAAAACCCTCTATAGGAATAGTTATCAATTAGAGGGTAACCTGTGAAGAACTTCTCTGAGTGGTTTAAGTTCAGAAGATACTTGACCAAATTACCCGTGTTGATGAACACATCCGTGTCTGTTTTCATGACATACTTGGCATTGGGGCAAAACTCAATTACCCACCTGAAAGCCATAATGGTTTTCAAGGTCAAGTTATTATACGTGTCCAAAAAATCTTGCCGTATAATATCGCCATAGAGAAGGTGTTCATCTTCCAAGGACAGCGCCAGCATTTTGTCTTCCCTTTCAGCCTGCTGGCCTAATAAAAAAAATGTAAGAACCTCATATCCCCACCAGGACTTCTTTTCGCCCCAAGTAACTCTAATTGCCTGTCTGGCTTTCACATCTGAAGGGCGTGAGGTCACCAGGATGACCAGGAATGGGTTCTGATTAGAGCAGTTCGAGTGTTCCCGGAGCGTGAAGCGAAAGTCTTGTCTGTAAATTGGCTCATACTCATAAAAGTACATCCAGTTCACCCGTTCAATGACATTGTAGTGGGGAAGGCTGAGGTACCACATCACCAGGAAACTCAGCAAGGACAGCAGCAGGAGGCTCCATTTCAAGGATCTCAGTGACATCCTATTGAAAAGGGTAGTCAAGGCAGCCGGGGCCATCCACAGCAGCTGAGAAGTATGAATGTAGAGGTTCTATAAGATGAAGCAAAGGCTCAGTGAGTGTCCACCACCTCAAAACATGCCAGGTCGTGTCATCTAGTCAAGAAGAAAGAATGGAGAAAGAAAGCTCCCAATCAAAAATAGCCTGACCTGAGCCTGCCAGGCTGCATTTAACGTAATACATATGATCCACCACCCAGAGGTGCACATCAAGACCAAGGTTAAAATAGACCCAAGAATCATTTTCAAACAACACCTCTCATTCAACACAAATAATTGTAATCCCGGTTACTGGGGAGGATGAGGTAAGAAGATCACAAGTTCAAGGTCAGCTTAGGTGGCTTGGAAAGACTTGTTCTCAAAATTAAAAGTAAAAAGAAAGATGGAATCTTGTTTGTATTCCACAAACAAGTAAGAACTACAAAATATTTATCATTCTGTTCATGGCTCTTTTCACTCTATCTATATTGTCTCAAATGCCAGGGTTCTAACATTTTATAGCTGGATAATATTCCATCTTGTAAATTATCACACTGTTTTCATCCACTAGTCCATCATTGGACTCTCCAAGTGATTGCATACCTTGGCTACTATGTGTCAATAAGTAAGCAGGTCTCCCTTGTCTCTTGAATGTATCCTAAGCAGGATTTCTAGACTGTGTCCAATTCAAGCAACACCACTGCTGCCAATTTATCCTAAAAAAAAAAAAAAAAAAAAAAAAAAAGATCAGAAAACTGTGTGGGTCCTTTAGAATACAGAAAAATAACATTTAAAAGTCTATCATTAGGAAACCTTTGAAGTGAAATTATGGCTCCATTATTTAACAGGGCATCTTCACTCATTACTTGCAATTTTGTTTCCCATAATTTCTTCATGCCACTGACTGAAATATGGAGCAATATACATAATTTATGCTTCCTTAGAAAGTATAGAATGGCAAACATCTAGAATTCTATGTGCACATATGCAGAGCAAAGTATGTGCAAGGATGTGTTCCACAAGTCAAGGGTCTTGTCTTTGGGGTTGTTGGAAGATTTCTCGTCCTTTCTGTATCACTGAATTATATATGCATTGCTTTGGATTTGCTGTTTTGCTACTGTATACAAAAGCAAAGCCAAAAATCTGGATTTTGTGCCTGCATGGCATCAAGTCCCTCTAAGTGGTGCTAAGCTTGAGTTCCCAACTTTCCCCCAGAGGTGTGAACTTGTACATTTCAGGAATTTCTATCAGTTCATATTTCTATTATTTTAATACATATCACTTCAATCCAGGGAATGCCTGTAAGGCTCATTTGGATACACACACATCTCACAGTCTATAGTGTTAAGAGCAAATACTCACCATCATACCTTGCTGGGAGAGATGGGTTTTACTGCACCTATTTTATAAGTGGATGTTAGAGTATCCACATGAAATACAAAGAATATTCACAAAAAGTCTAGGACTCACAGAGGTCCACCTGCACCTACCTCACCTCTGCCTTCACTGCCAGAGTGCTGGATTAAAGGCATGTGCCACCATGCCTGTCTATTAAAGGATCTCTTTTAACAAGAAGAAAACTGAATTTAAGAAGGAATGGAATGCAAGCAGCAAAAGTAAAGCATGAGATCATTAAAAGATACTAAAGACTTGTAATCACAGCTACAAGAAAGGAAATAGACAATGAAGAACAAAACTTATTTTTCCATGCAGTGGAAAAAGGATGAACCCAGAGCAGTGGTTCTCAACCTGCAGGGTTTGACCTCCTTGAACAACCCTTCCACGGGGGTCACCTAAGACCATCGGAAAACACAGATATTTACATTGTGATTCGTAACAGTAGCAAAATACAGTTATGAAGTAACAATGAAAATAATCTTATGGCCGGGGTTGCCACAACATGAGGCACTGTATTAAATGGTTGCAGCATCAGGAAGGCTGAGAACCACTGCTCTAGAGGATAGAAAAATGATGGCTCAATTGATTATGTGGTTACCATACAGACACAGGAGCCATACACTTGAAAGCTGCCTCCTCAGGAACAAGATGATGGATGGATGTAGGAATATGTATACATACACACACACACACACACACACACACACACAAATATGGGTAGGCAAGATGGCATAATGATTTAAAGCATTTGGCTGCTTTTGCAGAGGACCCAGGTTTGGTTCCCACCATCACCACATGGCTCACAACCATTTTTAACTCCAGTTTCGGAGGGTCTGAGGTGATCTTCTGGTCTCTGTGGAGAATGCACATATGTGGTACACTTTCATACTTGCAAGCAAACACTTATGCACCCAAGATAAAAAACACTAAATAAAATATTTAAAATACAAATAAAAATTTTAAAGAAATTTAAAAGGAATAGATACAAACTTTCAGTATAACCAGTTATACCTTTTAAGTTGAATGAAGACAAAACAAGCCAGCAAAGTAAGCCACCTATTAATGGGAAGATGAAAACGACAAGGGGGAACCAGAGAAAATGTATGGCAAATAGAAAACACAAAAGACAACTGCTGTAAATGCAAACATACATCAATACGGGGAGATAGCTCAACTTAACCACAGAGGCTTTCTCAGCTTGGCCTAAAGTTCTTCCGTGTGTTACTTACAAGGCTCACACCTAAAACAAAACACAAAGTGTTTCAAATTTAAAAAACAGAAAAGTATGGCAATCAACAAATTAGGACTATAATCCATAGCTAATCATTTGCATCACATATTCTAAGTGAGTAGCATTTAAAAGGAACAAAGGAAAATTTGTCGCTAACAAAATATCTATTTGAAATACCTCTTTAAAGCCACTGTGTTTTGTGTGTGCCTGCATATATGGATGTAATTTCATGTGTGTATGTAAGTGTGTGAAGGCTAGAGTTCAACTAAAGCACCCTGAAAAAACATAATTTAACAATCATAAAGCCACTCACACACACACACACGCACACACACACACACACACACACACACACACACACACACACACACACACACACAGCAAGTGTGGGGAGCCAGACTGACCCAAGACTCCCTCAGTGGCCCTAATGAAAGGACAAAGGGGACTCCAATTCTGCATCCTTGTTCAGGAGTGGACTTGACAAGGCTGGTCTAGGATTAGAGCCAGTGCCTCGGAGTCCAGGTTGTAGCTTTGGAGACCCAGCTCTCTCCCCTGGGCTATGGTTATCAGTCCCTGGGCAACTGCCTGAGATATCCCACATTCTCTGTGCTGACACTGTCTAATTCAGTTCTCTGCTGTCTTTGCCATTTTTCCTCCTGCAGGTAGTATATATAAGAAGCTGTGTTTAATAAACCTGCTTGGACCAGGTGTGGTGGTACCTGTCTTTAATCCCAGCACTCAAGAAGCAGAGGCAAGTGGACCTCTGAGTTTGAGGCCAGTCTGGTCTACAGAGCAAGTTTCAGGACAGCCAGAGATACACAGAGAAACTCTGTCTCAAAAAACAAAAAGAAAAATGCAAAAACTTGTTTAGTATTAAGTCATCAGCTTCTGCAAGACCCTCTGGTCTCAGCTATTGCCTTTGTCGTTTTTATTTCTCATTTTCTCTAGTTCTCATCCCTGCTCCTCCCACTCAACACCCCACTATTCAGGATTCTTACTCCTGCTAGTTTGGGACATTACAGTATAGGAAGCAAAGTCTGAAACATCTGTTTATTAATCCAAGCCCACACCATCCACCCTCCCAAGTGCTGGGCTGACATGTGGCTGTTGCCATAGGCTTTGAGAATTTCCCCAAATCTCTCTAAGTGTTATCTATGATCTGAAAGTTTGTCTCCACCAAAAGCCATGTTGGGGCTTGGTCCGCAATGCAACAGAATTTAAGAGGTAGTAAGAGGAAGGGGGCTCAATCCTCACAAAGGGAATACATTGGTCATCTCAAGTTACCTGTTACAAAGTGGGTTTCTCAGCCCCCCTCAGCCCCTCTTGCACACATGCTCCCGGACACATCCCATTTCCTTCCACTTTATGTGAAACAGCATACAGACCCTCTTGGGAAGCCAACTCACACTGGCACCATGCTTTCTGGCTTCTAGACCCATGAGCTAAATGTATCTGTTTCCTAAACATAACCTAGCCACAGACAACAGTCAATGATACTGAGAGATGTATCCAGCAATGAAAAGTAAGGATCAGACAACCTTTTTTTTTAATCTTAAAATTACATTTATCTGTTTTATTTGTAAACACATGGTTGGAAACTTGGTAGGAAAGTGGATCGTGGGGATGGAGCACAATCCATCAGGCTTAGGGACAAATGGTTACCCACTGAGCTACCTCACTGGCCCAGTAATCTTTTTTTTTTATTATTATATGAGGATTTCATACATAAGTACTGTATTCACATCATATCCAACCCTTCCTCCCCCTCCATTCCTCCCTTGCCCTCCTTATTCATTCTCAAATTGGCCTGTTTTTATTATTTACGTGTATACACACATGAACAATGTATGTGTGTGGGTTCATCCTGTTAGTATTGCTTCTATGTATATGTATTTAGGTCTAACCACTTATGATTTAGATAGATTATCAGGGAGCTTGTTCTTGGAGAAGTCTCATTCTCTTAGCAGGAATTAATTACCTATAGATCTTCATATAGGGGTGGAACCTTGTGAGATTTCCAGTTTCTGTGTTGGCACGTCAGCTGATGTTGGCATGACGTAGGTCATGTTTAGGAGATTACTGAGATTTCATGGGTACAGCTTCCCTGTCATGTATAGAAGACACTGTCTTGCTGCAGATCTTTCCTCCTCTTCTTTTGCAACGATTTGATCCTTAGGTATAAAGGTTGCATTGTAGATATATCAATAATCCTGATCTGATTAAAAATATTTAGCACCTTTTCCCCCAATAAAAATGAGAATAAATACAGTGAGCCTTCTGCATCTACACATTTAAACAACTATATAAAGAAAATGCTGAATGCAGCAGCAAGAATCTGAAAGTTAGTATTTGCGAGGTGGAGACAGGAGGATTGAGTGTTTGAAACAATCCTCAGCTACATGGTGAATTTCAGGCCAGCCTGGACTATAGGGTAAAACCCAGTCTAAACAATTCTCCCCTTGTGTCTTAGTTAGGGTTTCTACTGCTGTGAAGAGACCCCATGACCACAGAAACTTTTCAAAAGATTAAAATTTAATTGGGTGGCTTACAGTTCAGAGGATCTGTCTATTATCATGGTGGGACATGGCAGCAGGTAGGCAGTCATGGTGCTAGAGAGTAGCTGAGAGTTCTACATTTTATGCAGGCAGTATCTTGAGCATATATGAGACCTCAAAGCCTGCCTTTACAAAGAAACGCTTCCTCCAACAAAGCCACACCTCCTAACAGTGCTACTCCTTTTGGAGGGTATTTTCTTTCACACCACCAGACCTTGAAAACAAAACAAAAGCTATCACTATCCCTGCAAGAAGATATGTCTGAACTTCTGTATAAAACATGCCCAGATTTATTTTCTGTCATTATTCCCTAAGAAATATTGAGAATCAGCTATATATCCAAATGTTAAAACACTCCATTAGGTTTTGTAATTTAGAGTGTTCACAGACTGCAGGAAAATATTACACCATTGTACCTAAGGGATTTTAGTGTGAGAGAGCCTTGGAGCCCACAGGAGTCCTGGAATCATCTGCTACCTGTGCTGAATAGATCCTGCACTTGTTTTTAAGACTGTATCAAGCATTATTTAAAGAAAAACAACCATACAAAAGACTGTATTGGCTAGTTTTATGTCAGCTTGACAAGAGTGGGAGTCATCTGAGAGGAAATACCATCAACTGACAAATTGTCTGTATAAGATCAGTGTAGGCAAGCTTGTAGCACATTTTCTTTATGAGTGATTGATGTGGGAGAACCCAGTCCACTGAGGTTGTTACCACCCCTGACACTATGGTTCAGGATGCTACAACAAAGCAGGCTGAGTGAGGGACCTGGAGGCAGAACAAAGGATCCAGCATCGTGCACCATTCCTATCCTGCCCCTCCACCTTTTGGTAGAGTGCTGAGGGCTTCCCCAGCCCCTCACCTCCCCCTCTTCGAGTCCCCTGGCCTGTGGCTGCCAAACCCTTCTTGAGGTACCTGGAGGCAGAACAAAGCATCCCATCATTTCTGTCTAGCCCCTGCACCCTCCACAAAAGAGGAGAGGATGGAGCCTTGAACCCATATCCAGCAGGAGGGGGAGAGACCCCACCTGTACCCAGTGGAAGAAGAGATGGGAAGATGACAGTATAAGAACATATCCAACAACAGAAAGACTTATATGACACTACGAGAGTCTAGGGATTCTACACCTGTGAGACCTGAACATCCCAACGCAGATGAAGGAGAAGAGAATGACCTTAAAAACAACTTCATGAAAATGATAGAGGCCCTCAAAGAGGATCTGAGAAAATCCCTTAAAGAAATGGAAGGAAAAACAAAGCAAAAAAATGCAAGAAATCAACAAATCTCTTAAAGAAAGCAAAGAAAGCTAAGAAAAACAATCAAATAGATGAAGGAAACAATTCAAACAGTTCATGACCTGAAAACTGAAATAGATACAATAAAGAAAACACAAATTGAAGAATGCTAGACATAGAAAAGCTGGGAAAACGATCAGGAACTACAGATGTAAGCATAACCAACAGAATGCAAGATATGAAAGAAAGAATCTCAGACGCTGAAGATAAACTAGAGGAAATAGACTCATTGAACAAGAAAATCTCAAATCCAACAAATCCTTAACACAAAATATACAAGAAATATGGAACACCGTGAAAAGGACAAACCTAAGAATAATGGATACAGAAGAAGGCAAAGAAACCCAGCTTAAAGGTGCATAAAACATATTCAACAAAATCATAGAAGAAAACTTTCCCAACCAGAAGAAGGACATGACTATGAAAGTACAAGCAGCTTACCAAACACCAAACGGACTGGACCAAAAATTTAAAAAGTCCCTTGCCACATAAGAATCAAAACACCAAACATACAGAATGAAGAGAGAATATTAAGAGCATCGAAGGAAAAAAGCCAAGTAACATATAAAGACAGAACTATCAAAATTACGAGGAAACTCTGAAAGCCAGAAGGTCCTGGGTAGATATTCTGCAAACACTAAGAGATTATGGCTGCCAGCCCAAACTACTATACCCAGCAAAACTCTCAATCACTATAGATGCAGAAACAAGATATTCCATGAGACAACCAGATGTACACAATACATATCCACAAATCCAGCCCTACAGAAAGTTCTGGAAGGAAAATTCCAACCCAAGGAAATTAACTACACTCACAAAAACATAGGCAATAGGTAATCCCATTTTACCAGAAGCCAAAAGAAAAAGTGTGAATCTATTCACAATACCACCACCAACAACAACAATAAATCCAAAACAAACAAGAATTAACAAGAAATGGTCCTTAATTTCCCTTACTATTAATGGTCTTAATTTGCCTATAAAAAGACACAGGCTAACAAAATGGATATGAAGACAGAATCCATCCTTCTGCTGCATACAAGAAAGACACCTCAACCTCAAACGCAGACCCAACCTCAGAGTAAAGGGTTGGGAAAAGATCTTCCATTCAAATAGACCCAAGAAACAAGCTGGTGTAGCTATCCTAATATCTAACAAGTTGAAACTAAAATCAATCAAAAGAGATGAAGAAGATCATTTCATACTCCTCTGAGGAAAAACTTCATCAGGACAAAGTCTCAATTCTGAATACAAAGGCACCCACATTCACAAAAGAAACATTGCTAAAACTCACATCACACATAAAACCTCATACATTTATAGTAGGTGACTTCAACACCCCACTCTTACCACTAGACAGGACCACCAAACAAAAACTTAACAAAGAAAAAGTACCAACAGAAGGCATGACCTAGTTGGATTTGACAGACATCTATAGAACATTCCACCCAAACAGAAAAGAATATACCCCCTTCTTAGTTCCACATGGAACCTTCTCTAAAATTGACCACATACTCTGCAACAAAGCAAACCTCAAGAGACATTAAAAAAAATTGGAATAACCCCCAGTGTTTTATCAGACCACCATACTTTAAAGTTAGAATTTAACAACAAAAATTTCAGAAACCCTATAAATTCATGGAAACTGAACAATGCACAATTGCACCATTCCTGGGTCAAGGAGGAAATAAGAAAGAAATTAAAGACTTCCTAGAATTCAATGAGAATGAAAACACAACATATGCAAACTTATAGGACACTTTTGAAAGTAATGTGACTAGGAAAGTTCATAGCACTAAGTGCCCACATAAAGAAACTGGATGATAGTCACATTAGAGAATTAACAACATAACTGGAAGCTCTAGACAAAAAGAAGCAAACCTGGAGGAGTAAACACCAGGAAATAATCAAATTGAGGGCTGAAATCAATAAAGTAAAAACAAAGAAAACAATACAAAAAAATCAATGTAACAAAGAATTGGTCTTTGTTACAAGATAGACAAACCTTTATTCAAACTAACCAAAAGGCAGAGAGAGAACATGAAAATTAACAAAATCAGAAATAAAAAGGGGAACATAACAACAGACACTAAGGAAATCTTCAGGTCACACTTTGAAAACCTGTACCCCACAAAATTTGAAAATTTAATGAAAACGGACACTTTTCTGGTAGGTATCACTTACCAAAATTAAATCAAGGAACAGATAAGCAATTTAGACCAACCAATAACCCCTAATGAAATAGAAGCACTCATCAAAAGTCTACCAACCACAAAAAAAAAAAAAAAAAAAAAAAAAAAAAAAAGCCCAGGGCTAGATGGCTTCAGTGCAGAATTCTACCAGAAATTCAAAGAAGAGCTAATCACCAATACACCTCAAATTGTTCCATAGAACAGAAGAAGAAGGTTCATTTCCAACCTTTTTTTTATGAGGCCACAATTACCTTGGTGCCCAAGCCATACAAAGACACAACTAAGAAAGAGAACTACAGACCAATATCTCTCATGGACATTGATGCAAAAATACTCGATAAAAGACTAGCAAATTGAATCTAAGAACACTTCAGAGAAATCACCCACCATGACCAAGTAGGCTTCATACCAGGGATGTAGGGTTGCTTCAACATATGAAAATCCATCAATGTGATCCACCATATAAACAAACTGAAAAAGAAAAACCATATGATCATCTCACCAGATGCTGAAAAGCCTTTGACAAAATCCAACACCCCTTGGTGATAAAGGTCTTAGAGAGATAGGGGTAACAGGAACATACCTAAACTTAATAAAAGCAATATACAGTAAACCAACAGCCAACATCAAACTAAATGGAGAGAAAACTCCATTTGATTCCTCTAAAATCAGGAACAAGACAAGCCTGTCCACTCTCCCCATATCTCTAGTTCTAGTTCTAGCTAGAGCAATAAGACAACAAAAGGACATCAAGGGGGTACAAATTGGAAAGTAAGAAGTAAAACTTTCACTATTTGGATGATATGGATAGTTTACATAACTGATTCAAAAAACTCTACCAGAACTCGGGTGACAGAACACGCTAATGAACACCACGTGACAGTAGTCACCCAAATGGTCAATCTATGAAACAACCAGTGAGATCTCCTCAGCCATGAAAGAATGGGTGGTTCTAGGTGATTAGAGACTAAGGACACAGAACTTTGTTGGAAGACAATCTAGGCAAGATGTTATCGTAGAAATGTCCTTCGACAGACAGTGTAGTAACAGCCGTGTGATGGGCTATTTATTACTCAATTGTAAAGGGCAGCATTGCTACAAATGTTAGCTGTAAGAGTTCTTGACA